GGACTGGCCTGTCTGAGGAGACGCCCACAGAGAGCCATGTTTCCCCTATTACATCGGCTAAGAAACATAATGCTTATTCATTTTAACGCAGAACTAGTCATGCTGGGAGAGGAGGCTTTCCTCCGACGCTGGTGTACGTGATTTATTATCGTAAAAAACAACAGTGTCCATGCCTTTTCTTCCTATTGAGGAGGTGGGCTAGAGCTTGTGCCACTGTAACATTACAGCGTGTTTTTCCTTTTCTTCCTTAAAGACATGTCCTTTTTGTGAAATATTGTTCTTGAGCACGAGAGCAAACTGTCCTCACAGGTGAATGCAAAACATCACCCTACACTGTGAATGACCCCCGCCCCCTTGTTTGTTCACATAGCCTTACTGTTTATTTAAGTTTAATGATCTAGATGTCATGAATGTCCTCTCTTTGTTGTACAATTTTGCATTGCACGTCCCTACATACGCAATAAGTTCTTTTCGCTGTATATAACAGCTTGCATTGTACATATGCATCGTTCACTATTGTCCATTTTTCTGTGTGCACATAAGCTGTGTAAGATATATATTGAAGTAAACTTCTCTTAAACGAGTTTATTTTCACTTCCTCGACCAGCCCCAACATCAGCTAAGGATAAAAAATGTTTCAGGTTTGGAATGGGTGCCCCTAAATGGCTCGAGTGTTTGGTGGCAGCGCGAAGGGAGAGTTGTTGTCCAGTAAAGAGACGCCTTATTGCAGCACTGAGGTGTCTGCGAGGTCCAAGCCCAAACCTCCGTTCTCTATTTCACATCCGAACAACCTCTTCTTAATCCTCGGCCAAACAACAAAGGGCCTCCGAACCAGCCAATAACAAGTGGGGGCCCGCATCACCACCACCAGTTGCAGAAACGCTTCAATAACGGACTCTGCATTGGTAAAAAAGCCTGTTAGAAATTACGACATGCGAGTAGATATGTTACGTGTTTATCGCGTGTCGTCACACTCTTTCTCATGTTAGCCCGTGTATCAGATGGCGTCTCTCTGCGGCCGCTGCTCATGGCATCACAGCTGGCATTAAAGCACCGATTCCGGCTCGTCTGCCGCGACTCATCCACCATTACTTATCTGGTAGGTACCACCTTGCTGCAGACTTCATGAATGAATATCCTCAAGTATCACGCGCGGCTATCTTCACAGACTTGAGATCATCCCTCCGCCAGCTCGCCAAGAAAGACCGCACACCCAGATTCGCACAGCGTGTCACGTGGTAGGTGCACAGCCTGCGCGATCAAGGCAACGTCGTGTTCCTTCAATGGATTCCGTCACACGTTGGTATTGCAGGGAACGAAGCTGCCGATAACCTGGCAAAGACAGCGCATGACCGTGTGGTTCTACTGTCTATGAGCGTGGACTCCCCGCCGAAACCTGCGGTGCGATCTCGTTTGAAGTCATCCCGACCAACGTGAGGCCGCCGGTAGAGTGCCTCGATGCCCGCTCCTCCACTCAGAGTGAAGACATCTTCGGCGGCTGCCATTATCATTCTCGTTGCATACAGATTTCGCTCTGGCACCTAGTGGCCCACAAGCATAACGCGAACCACTGTAGCCCTGAGAAACTCAATATACAGGCAAAACATGTTGAAGAAAGCTGGCACGTGAGCTCTACAGCTTGGTGAAGACACTGCAGGCCCTACAATGGCAGAGGGGGCATTAAAAAAAGGTGGCAGCACTCCTGAGCAGGGGCGCACGCATCGATCGAGGCGCCCTAAGGTGACAGACTGTCTCGAGGCCCCGCCCCTCTGCTCAGAGTGAAGACATCTGCGTCGTCTGCTACGGCGGCCGCCATACCGGTTTTGCTCCTGTGGGAATGGACTCGCTAGCTCAAAGCTTTATGCGGGCGCATGTATTAAGAAAAAAGAGGGTGGCCGCGAATTTCTCTTCTACCTGAATGCAACTACATTCTAAATCATCTATACTCACAATTGGATGATTTGTAAGTTTGATCTGGCCGTGCCTATTTCTTGGTTGTCCACGTGTGTTTCGCCAAAATACATGCATACTAAATAGTTGTAGGAAAAGCCTTCTTCTGAATAAGAAGAGAGGAATAATACCGGATCATGCTTCTATGCCTGCGGATGTACAATTGCGATCTGGGCGACAAATGTTTGGTGAATCAGTGCGCCATTTTCTTGAAGCGCTCAAAAGACAAGTGGATGTACCATGGATTACTGCGCAAAGAACCATTGTTACGAATGCCAAAGTACTAATATATAGTCGGCTCAGAGCTGACGGTTCTTTATGAATTTTATGGGCGTATTTTGTGACACACTTAATCTTTGTCGAATATGTGAAATGTGAACACTCTTAATGTGCAAGGGAATAAAAAAAGAAAAACAGGTGGAGGCGTGGCTGCATTGCAGAACCCCCACTTGTCACGCAACCGTTCCGGGCTCTATCCCCACTCATACCCAGCATTTTTAATGACTATTTATTTTTTGCGTCTTTCTCGATTTCTCGGTCATGCAAAGAGGATGTTTTTTTTTGTTCACAACCAACCACACCAACTATAACTCCAGAATTTCTGTAAAACGAGCTCGTGTTAAAAAAAAAACGCCAGCCCTGCGCGGAAGGCGCAGCACTGTTAGAGCCAAAGGTAGAAGAGCGGCAATTCAGAGACTTTTCAAAACACTCATTCGGTGACTATACTGCAAGCACACTTGCTTGATACCCACTAGGGCGTTAATAATAAATTTTTTGGGTAGTAGGCCGGCATTCACTGTGCTATTTTTTGTCATTTCCTCTGAGGAGACGAGGTATCCGGTAAACACTCGCAAGAAATTGTGTGCCAATTTTTTTATGCAGTGGCTGACGACAATCAGGAATTATAGCTGAAGTGGGTATGTGCTACAGCTATTAGGCGAACAAGAAGAAGATTTCGTAATGGTTTGGAGCATTGGAAAGCCCACTGGTTACGCTATTCGCATTGTGTGACGACTGATTGTTCTTTCGCTGTTTTAAAACGCTTTATAAGTCGTATTAACGCAATTGCTTTCCAAACATCAAGCCTGTGTAAGGCAAGTTTGCCAACGAGTCACGAGCTCCGCCGTAGTTCAGTGGTGGAATACTGGGCTGTCACCCAGCGTTCCTGGGTTCGAGCCGCACTGTGGCATTGATGCTGAATTTTGTCTATTTTCACGCGATTTGGTTACAGACACCTGCGGTGGCCGCTACGGACAACTGCGTGTGACGCGAGTTGTGATCTCATAACAGCTTTCGCTGTAAAAGTACTTTCGCGCTATTTTACATGCGAAAGGTAGGAACGCGTAAGTTTAGCGAGAAAATATACTTGAAAAGCTGTAATCAAAGCGTGGCAGCTTGCAGTACGTCAATTGTATAGCGTACAAGTTGCATTCTGATGTAACTGCGGTACAGACAGCATTGCAAAACACGGTACTCGCCATGTATACATATGACAACGGCGTGACAACCCACCGCGGTCTCGCTTGAAACATTAGGGCCAGCCAACGTTTCTTCAGCATTGGTCTCAATGGGAAGCTAAAAATTCTCAATCTACTCCAGCTGTTGTTCGAACGTTGTGAACGCAACAATCGGTCATGTTTTCTTTGCTTCGAGCAACCGGTGAGGCAGTGCTAGCGAACCTTGACGCGCACCACAGAAAACGTAGGAGTCACGGCGTAGAGTACGTTCCACTCGTCCAAATGCACAGGTAGAGCACGTGTAACCACTGTTACGATGGTCTTCGTAGTTCTACATAACTACCTCTACGTGCATAGAGACAACTTGGGACCACCTGAACACTGACGTTGAAACCGTTGAGCGCATCGAATTGAGAATCAAAATGGTGGCCGAAGAAGTTGGCAACAACGGCGACCATAAGAATTTACGGGTGTGAGCATGCACCCTTTCAAACGGTGAAATCATCCTAAAACAGAGTGGGAGGCACATGTTTGTGAAGGCTCCCTACAAGACCTCAATTTTCGATGGCCCCCACACTCGTCCCCTCGCGACTACGTCCACTTCACTCTCGTCGCTCCGTAGGCAGGGCAGCACGTCACAAGTCCTACGATGAGTGTTACGCACGGGTATCAATATCCTCCCACGCCCCCTCAGCTGCCTGTTATATCAACCTTTTTGAAGAACGCCTGGTAGCTCCACGTCTGCCATTTGTGAGCCTTAGACATTTGACTCATGGCAGCAGCCGGTATGACATAAAGGCGCAGGTGGTTAGCGTGCCGATGAACGTGGCAAACACTGTGCAGTGACGGCCGCGGAACGTGGCCGACAATGCTGCTTTCAACGTACACATTATGCGCCGGGCTGTTAACAAGCCTTCCTATAGAAACGGTCTCACCAAGAAACGCCCCTGCATCGATCCGAAGAAGCTCCTCCGACATCATTGACCTCGTGGATATGGCGGTGATTTTTTTTTATATATCTCAAATTTTCGCTCCCGCAAAACGCAGATCTTTCACAGGAAACCAACGATGTCGTTGCCGGCACCAGAAATCCTCCTAAACGAGTACTTCAATGCTCGCGTGGTCACTGTTATGACGAGTTTCGTGACCCCCCCCCTCCTTCCCCGTTTTGATACATTCTGCAAATATCATGCATGCAGGTCAGAAAACTTTCCGTCGTTTCGGTTGAGGATGCGTTTTGTCGTCTGTATGATCAAAACGAGTGCTTCAATGCTCACGCGGTCACTGTTATGTCGAGTTTCGTGACCCCCCTCCTCCTTTCCCGTTTCGATACGTTCCGCAAATACCATGCATGCAGGTGAGAAAACTTTCCGTCGTTTCGGTTGAGGATGCATTTTGTCGTCTGTATGTTCAATGATTGTAGTTAAACACGCGAAGGCTCTTTCTTTCTTTTTTTTTTTACTGTGGTAGGATATTCACCTGAGCTGTTCTGTGTTGCAAACTTCACTGTTAAGCCCAAAACGATAAAAACGAGCCTACGACAGAAAGTAGTATGTACATATTCTGAGACAAAAACCTTTGCAGGATACTTACCCGGTGCATATATGTTATCACGTACTCTAAAGGATCCAGCGAACTAACTTCAAGGCTCTTCGTATGGCTGTAGTCGCTGATAATAGAAGTCTCAATGATATGCACACGGGGCTGTTTTTTCGCTCCTAATAAAAAATGTAACTCGGTTAGCATTCGAGTTATCGAAAAAAGACTATAACTTTTGTATACGTACTTGGTAATCCAAAAATTTCGCTGAAGATAGATCTTGCACCTGTAAACAAAACCAAAATCACTTTCACAATGCGCAGCCATGTGTGAGAACTGCCATCAATAAAAAGTTTTAGCAAACGTTGTTGCATTTTAACGTATATGTATAAAGCTGTTGTGACCATCAGTTGAATGATTGATTGATTTGTGGGGTTTAACGTCCCAAAACCACCACATGATTATGAGAGACGCCGTAGTGGAGGGCTCCTGAAATTTCGACCACCTGTGGTTCTTTAACGTGCACCCGATTCTGAGTGCATGGGCCTTTAACACTTCCGCCTCCATCAGAAATGGAGCCGCCACAGCCGGAATTTGATCCTGCAACCTGCGGGTCAGCAGCCGAGTACCTTAGCCACTAGACCACCGTGGCGGGGCAAGACCTTCAGTTGCTTGTCATGTTATGAAGTCGATGCAGCCAAAGTATTAAACGTCCATGCGGGAAAATAAGTTAACAGCTTTTTATGCTTCGTGAGTAACCAAATCCTGCGTATTTAGTGTCAGTACTAAGGTTTAAAAATTGCCAGATCCCACGTACAGCGGGAATCGATTATATGCAAAGCATGAATGAGAAATGTTAATATTTCTCTTTAAAATCAGCGCAATGTTACGAGGTGGAGGTAAAGGATGCTGTACATGACTTCTGTGTCATGATTATTATGTTTGGATGTGTCATTTACAATCGTCATCTATTCACGTCACGTGATACCAAATTTAGTATATGTGAAGCTAGAGAAACAGTCACGAGCACGCTATGAGCGTGGTATGTTGTCATGTTCTTACATGACACGCGTGTCAGAATTTCAATGACTGTACCACTTATATATTTCGTCATTCATTGACGTCACGTAACACCAAAGTTGGTATACGTGGAGCTAGCAAAACGGCCGCGAGCACCTCATGAAGAGTCCAATATACTCCAATGTAGCTTTCACGCGAGCGCACGCTGGGCACAGTGACGCTAAGTTATAGCAAAACGTGAGCACTCTATAGTCTGACTCAAGGCACGACCAGCGTCTATCGGCGTGCCCCGACGGCAACCAGTGCGAAGTGTGACATGCTGCATTTCGCGCCGATCGATAGAGTAAAATGACTATTCGCTAAGTGTTCGCTAAATTACCGCTTCAAGAGCTTCAGTAGCAAAATAACTTTTACTACCTAAAAGGCCATTTCTCGGGCTGTTCCGCATCCTTGGTTTTCTTTATGTCACGTCATTATTTCGCTTGATCAAATGACATCGAGGGCCGCACTTGACGTTTTAGCTTTTTCGTGTTGTCAGGCGCTGATTGTCCTTCAAGCGATAGCTTTTAAATGCAAAGCCTTTCTTGGCTGACAAGACACCTTCGCCACATCTATCTATCTATCTCTCTCCATATATATATATATATATATATATATATATATATATATGGGTGTGTGTGTGTGTGTCTAGCTATCTATCTATCTAGTTGACCACGCTGTTGCTGTGTCAACGTTTAGTCACCTTCATATATCTATCTATATATCTTGTCAATCACGCTGTTGCTGTGCCAACATTTTGTTACCTTGGTATAAGCGAAAGTTTTCCGGACACGAGATCCCTGCATCGTGAACATGACAGTGTGTCGAATATCCAACCATACATGTCATGCACCAAGCGATTAGATAGTGAGGTTGTTATTAAAATGGTATCGTTTCACTTCAAGATAACACAAAATCTACCACATTGCATGTATACGAAGTCATTAACGGCAGCTTGCGACATGCAAGTCATCCCAAGTAGGCAGTCTATATTATGGCTGGTAATATATATTATGACTTCTCTAACTACTCCACCGGAGCAAACAAACATGCACAACAAACTTGCTGTAATAAATGACCCGAGGTGGTATGAATGGTAGGTGGATTCCAACCAGCACATAGTCAAGCCAAGCAAAGTATTCGGATTAGTATTGGTAGTAATTATAACATAGATGTGACGAAGGGACAGTGGACGAAAGGACAACTTGCCGCAGGCATGCATAGATTGAACCGACGCAAGACTGATAGTTGGGCTAGCTGGTGATACATTATGGGCGGGATAGCGCACAAACTCATGGGATGAAGAGGCGGGACATAACAAGCACTGACTCTTAACTGAATATTTATTGAAATATAGAAATTATCTGAACACATAGGAAAAACATACAAAACATGCGCAGAGGGGCCAGTGAGGGATCGTGTCGACGCCATTAAGAATTTCACGCGGCGGGTCATTGTGCAGGCGCGAAAAATTCAATTATAACAAACAAGCTACTGATTATGACTTTTTTTTCTTTTTCATGTAAAGATATCAATGTTTGACGAACGCACGACTCCCCTTCTTTTTTTTACATAGAATGCTTCCACGTGTTTTCTAGTCACCTAATCACTATGTCTGAAGAGCACTGTCATTTTATTGAACAAAGGAGTGCACCCACACGTGTGGCAGTTCAAAAGCAGATTCGCGTACGTGCAGGTCTTGAAGGTTCCGGAGTGTTCTTTTAGCCGTACACAGAGACAACGCCCTGTTTGTGCGATATACACTTTTTTACATGTTAGAGAAATTTTGTACACTGCCCCTAGTATATAGAGTAGTGAAGCGTCCTTGCGTTTTACACCACGTTTATTTTGGCTGGAGGTCTTTCTATTGTTTTTCGTTCACTATATGGCACAATTTTGCTCATTTGTTTCTTGCTGAGAATAGTACTCTTATATTGTCACGGGGTCGTGACGTGGCCGAAGACAGGAGACTTCGTGTTGAGATTTAACTATTTATTTTGGCGAACCTGTGCCCGGTAGACGAAAAGTCCAATTACAGCAGTAGTCTCGCACAGATAGCAGTCTCAGACTGATAGCGGCAAGCGGAGCGTCGGCCTTCGATCAACAACTGGCAAGCGGCGAAGCGCGTCGGCATTTATACTCTTGCCGTCGAATGTTCTAGCGTTATCGCTAGCGGTGGCGTAGGTTCCAGAACAATCTGTACCGTTCGCACAGTGGGCGTGATCTTATCGAAATGATCTACTACAGTCCGGAACCTTCTCGAAAACTGCAGGCGCGGTTTGTGCTGAGAATCGTATGGTGTTTTGGGACGATAACAAAAACTTGGGAAATGGAACGTGGCATTGCCCCCCTCTGAAAAAAGGCATCGTCCCGATGCTTTAACTAAAGATGAAGGTACAATAATAACGCAAGAAAGTACAATGAATAAATTACGATACAACAATAATACAAAAAACTCTGTGTCAGTTTGTTAACGCGCATGAAACCGCTTGAGGCGCCCGACATGGACGACTTCAGGTCGCGATCGGCGTCGTTGAGAGTTCGTGATGCCGTCGGGGACAACCTCGTAATCAAGTGGGCCGAGACGTCGAACCACCCTGTAGGGTCCGAAGTACCGCCGCAGAAGCTTTTCACTTAGTCCACGTCGGCGTATCGGCGTCCACACCCAAACACGTTCACTGGGCTGATATTCCACGAAGCGTCGTCGAAGGTTGTAACGGTGGCTGTCGGTCGTCTGTTGATTCTTGATACGGAGGCGCGCAAGTTGTCGGGCTTCTTCGCCGCGTTGAAGGTACTCGCTCACATCGAGGTTTTCTTCGTCGGTGCCGTTGGGTAACATGGCATCGAGCGTTGTTGCCGGGCTCCTTCCGTAGACCAATTTGTATGGAGATATCTGCGTCGTCTCCTGCACCGCCGTGTTGTATGCGAAGGTCACATACGGAAGAATGGCGTCCCACGTCTTGTGTTCGACATCGACGTACATTGACAGCATGTCGGCGATCGTCTTGTTAAGCCGCTCGGTGAGGCCGTCGGTCTGTGGGTGGTACGCTGTCGTCCGGCGGTGGTTTGTTTGGCTGTATGCCAAGATCACTTGAGTTAGGTCGGCAGTGAATGCCGTTCCTCTGTCGGTGATAAGGACCTCCGGGGCGCCGTGACGTAGGAGGATATTTTCGACGAAGAACTTAGCTACCTCGGATGCACTGCCTTTTGGCAGGGCTTTTGCCTCGGCGTAGCGGGTGAGGTAGTCGGTAGCTACCACGATCCACTTGTTTCCGAACGCCGACGTCGGGAACGGCCCCAGTAGGTCCATACCGATCTGCTGGAAAGGTCGGCAAGGTGGATCAATTGGCTGCAGGAGTCCCGCTGGCCTTGTCGGCGGTGTCTTGCAGTCGCTGACAGTCCCGGCATGTCCTCACATAACGAGTGACGTCGGTGGTAAGACGTGGCCAGTAGTACCTTTCTTGTATCCTCGCGAGCGTGCGAGAAACACCGAGGTGCCCTGCCGTCGGATCGTCGTGCAGGGCCTGCAGGAGTTCCGGTCGCAGAGCTGAAGGTACCACAAGGAGGTACATTAGCTCGAAGCGGTGAAACGTTTTTCTTTTGTAGAAGACCGTTTCGCAGAAAGAACGACGCAAGTGCGCGCTTCAATACCTTCGGGACTTCGGCGGTCCTGCCTTCGAGGTATTCTATTAGGGCCTTATGTTCCGGGTCGGCCCGCTGTCGTTCAGCGAAGTCGTCGATAGTTATCGTTCCCAAGGAGTAATCGTCATCCAAGTCGTCGGGTAGCGGTTGGTCGACAGGCGCACGAGAGAGAGAGTCGGCGTCGGAGTGTTTTTGCCGGACTTGTAAATGACAGTAATGTCATATTCTTGAAGTCTCAGGCTCCACCGTGCAAGGCGACCTGAAGGGTCCTTCAAGGTGGCTAGCCAACACAAGGCGTGGTGGTCGCTCACAACTTTGAAGGGCCTGCCGTAGAGGTAGGGGCGAAATTTCGACGTAGCCCAGATGATGGCGAGGCACTCCTTTTCTGTTGTGGAATAATGGGCTTCTGCTTTGGATAGCGATCGGCTGGCGTAACTAATAACCCTTTCAAGTCCGTCAGCGCTCTGCACAAGAACGGCGCCAAGACCTACGCTGCTTGCGTCAGTGTGTATTTCTGTCTCGGCGAATTCGTCGAAATGGGCAAGTAACGGAGGCGTCTGGAGGCGATGTTTCAGCTCCTGGAAA